GGCGCCACCGCGCCCATTTCCGCACACCGCTCACACGTTGTGTGGCCCCATGGGGAGCTCCACCGAAAGCCCGAATGGCAAAGTTCGCATGGCGGCCTGCCCCATGTCGGCACACCCCTCACATGTTTCGTGACCCCACAGGGAGCTCCATCGAAGGCCCCATTGGCAAGGTTCGCATGGCGCCATAGCGTCCATTTCGGCACACCCGTCACGCGTTTCGTGGCCCCACAGGGAGCTCCACCGAAGGCGAGGCTCACAACTGCGGTACCCACAATTGCATATTGTTGGGTCCTTCGCCAGGGTTTTTTATTTTCATTTTGATTTTTTGAAGAGCTTTTCTGATGAAAAATGTTGCTCCCGCTGAAGCGCTGGCCCCATTTCTGCGCCTCTGGTTGTTCCAAATCGTGCTCTGGCTGCAGCGCGGGAGTTCTCAGTCCTTCGAAATAAGCGCCAAAATCAAAAAAATGCCGCCCCCCGAAAAAACATCGGAAATGAATCTGCATTCGGTGTCGATTCGTGGATTTGTTGGGCCGCAGAAGCCCCCGCACTTGGGGCGTCGTCGTTTTCAGGAAGTATCAAGCAGGAGCCCCGTTTCTGCTTTGAGAAGGCGATGTTGAAAGCAGAGCCAGCGAATGCTCTCCATCAGCCCCGCGTTGTGTGGAGCTGTTCGGGGAGCCCAAGGAGCCAGCCATGGAGCCACGACTCCAGACCGGCCCAGGCCTCTGGAAGACGATCCACTTCTCCTCCAAGGAGCCCGGTGCCATGCCATGACATGCTGTGCGGTGTTGTGTTATGCGCCGCTGTGCGATGCCATGCTTTGCGTTGCAATGCTTTCTGATGCAATGCTTCATTTCGCAATGCCACGCTAATCTATGGCATGCTACGCTCTGCCGTGCTCTTCTACGTCATGCCATGCCGTGCTCTACCATGCATCGCGTACCCTCCCGCGATCATTGCCCTGCTCGACAGCCGAGTGTGCGAATAGAGAGGATATGTACGCCATGGTAAGGGATGGGAGGGAGTAGGACGTCAGATATGATACGAGCGCACATAGCTTGTCCTCCTCCTCCCCCTCCTCCTCCTTCTCCTCTTCCTCCTCCTCCACAGTTGCACAATATGAATGCTGCTCTCCTCTCTCCCGTGATGACGTCTGGAAGTTATCTGGCCCCCCTCCGCGTACTGTCTTTTACAAAGGATCCCCGGGACATAGTTTTTCGCTCGGTTTTTTCAACATGTTGCTCCCGCTGAAGCGCTGGCTCCATTTCTGCACCTCTGGTTGTTCCATATCGTGCTCCAGCTGCAGCGCGGGAGTTCTCAGTCCTTCGAAATAAGCCCCAAAATCTAAAAAATGCCGCCCCCCCCGAACAAAAACATCGGAACTTAATCTCGATTCGTTGATTTTTTGGGCCGCAGAAGCCCCCGCACTTGGGGCGTCGTCGTTTTCAGGAAGTATCAAGCAGGAGCCCCGTTTCTGCTTTGAGAAGGCGATGTTGAAAGCAGAGCCAGCGAATGCTCTCCATCAGCCCCGCGTTGTGTGGAGCTATTCGGGGAGCCTAAGGAGCCAGACATGGAGCCACGACTCCAGACCAGCCCAGGCCTCTGAAGACGATCCACTTCTCCTCCAAGGAGCCCGGTGCCATGCCATGACATGCTGTGCGGTGTTGTGTTATGCGCCGCTGTGCGATGCCATGCTTTGCGTTGCAATGCTTTGTGATGCAATGCTTCACTGCGCAATGCCACGCCAATCTATGGCATGCTACGCTCTGCTGTGATGCCGTGCTCTACCATGCATCGCGTACCCTCTCGCGATCATTGCCCTGCTCGACAGCCGAGTGTGCGAATAGAGAGGATTTCGACGCCATGGTAAGGGATGGGAGGGAGGGGTAGGACGTCAGATATGATGCGAGCGCACGTTGCTTGTCCTCCTTCTCCTCCTCCTCCTCCTCCTCCTCCTCCGGGACTCACTCAACCCCAGCGGTGTATGTGGGGAGCTTCGCGGATGTTGAAAAACATCCTCCTCCTCCTCCTCCTCCCCTCCTCCTCCCCCTCCTCCTCCCTCCTCCTGCTTGAGGTTTGTGGATGTCTTCACTGTAGCCAACGCCCGGGCACGGCCAGGCAGGTCTCGCCGCGCCGCGCCACCAGAGCAACCCTCTCTCCCTCCCTTTCTTCTCCCCCTCCCTCCCTCCCTCACTCCCTCCTCCGCACCCGCGCCCGAGCGCGAGGTCCCCCCGCACGGAGGAAAGCAGGCGGAGGGCTTGGCGCGCGGGCCGAGCGCCAAGCGGGGGACGGGAGGGGGACCTTGACGACCTTGCGCTGTGAACAAAAAATCACGACGGCTTCGTTTTGGCAATCTTCGCCCTCTGGGGGCCCTTGCTGGGTCCTGGGGCCGTGAAAGACGGCTCAGGGTGAAAAGTCAGTCCCTGGAGAAGGCGTCGTGACCTCCGAGGGTCCACGCTGCGACTGATCACTGGGAGGGGCAGAGGCGGGGAGCAGAGCAAAGGGAACGAGCTGGGCCGGGTCGAACGACAGGAGGGATAACACACCACCTGCACGTCCCAAGAGGGCCCCGAGAAGCAACAATCGTCCCAGTCCCTTGGGGGAACGTCTAGTTTTAGCAAATTCGCCTCTAGGACTTTCAAGACGGCCCAAGAAGCCTCCAAGATCGCCCCAAGACGGCCCAGGAAGCCCCCAAGAAGGCTCCAAGACGGCCCAAGAGGGCCCCAAGATGGCCCAATAGGCCCCCAAGACAGCTCCAGGAGGGGGCCCAGGCGGGGGACCCGAACGGAAATTTCGAGCCCTCCGTCCCAAGAAGCCTCCAGGAGGCCCCAAGAGGCCCCACAAGAGGCTCCAAGAGGCCCACCAGAGGCCCAAAAGAGGCCACAAGAGGCCCCAAAAAGGCCCCCAAAAGGCTTCAAAGTGCTGCCAGGAGGTCCCCGAGAGACCTACTAGGAGCCCCCCAAGGGGTCGGCGGTGCGACGTAATCCCAAGAATCATCTGCACGTGGTCGATTTTCCTGGCGCCTCCCCGCCAGTTTAGCTGAACCAAGCTGCACGCAACAGATTTCGTACTACCTCCGTCCCAATCTCCCCTCCTGTGGCCCGACCCGAGATGTGTGGAGGAGAATACAGGATGAAGAGACCCTCGGAGCTTTCTGGCAGTTTTGGAAAATCTTCGGAGGAGCGGGGGGCGGCGGCGGGGAGGAGAGAGTCGGGCCCCCCCCCCAAAACGGCCCAGTGACCACACCGCCTGGTGCGTCGAGAATGCTTCGGGGTGCGCGGGCCGTTTGGGACTTGGGGTCGTTCTCCGAGGATGCCTCCCGAACGCCTGAGGCCTGCGACACCCCCCCGAAGAAACTGACAAAACCTGACCTGTCCGTGAGGCCTTCGGGATCTCGAGGCCATAGGGCGGTTTGGTTTGCGTGCCCTCGGCGGGCCAGGGGGTGTGAAACCCCGACGGCAACGAGGCGCAGAAGCCTGTACGGGCGCTCCCGCGCCTGCGAGGCGAACCCGGCGCGTCCGCGTGAAACGAACGAGGAGGAGGAGGAGGAGGAGGAGGAGGAGGAGGAGGAGGAGGAGGAGGAGGAGGAGGAGGAGGAGGAGGAGGAGGTGGATGAGAAGGTGGAGGAGGAGGTGGATGAGAAGGTGGAGGATGAGGAGGTGAAGGAGGGAGGAGGAGGACCAGTGAAATTCCAAGGCTCATCATCGATATTGCTATAAGCCCTCCCTCCAAGTTCCCTCGTTATGGGCCCCATACAAGGATTTATTAGCATTGAAGGAAATCCTGAACATCACTCCTGAGATTTCAGCCCCGCGAATCACCGCTACTGTTGCGTCTTAACGATCTTGAGTCGTGCCAGAATACCATTCCTGCGACTTCGACACCGCGAGTCAACGTACTTGTTGCGTTCTGACAATCCGACAGCTTGCCAAAGCACGATTTCTGGAACGTCAACCATGCGAATCCTTGAAACGTTGTGAACTCTTTAAAACACATGCGCGCGGCGCTAAAACGAGAACCCCATGTTGAAAAGGAACCGCCCTCCATCCGCGAAGTTCTTTTTCAAAAAGAATGTGCGCGGCGCCAAGATGCGAACCACATTTTGAAAAGGAGCCGCCCTCCATCCGTGAAACGCTTGCAAGTTTTTACAACGAATGTGCGCGGGGCTAAAGCGAGAGCCACAATTTAAAAACGATCCGTTCTCCATCCGTGAAGCTCTTGCATGGTTTGGATACACATGTGTGAGGTGCTAGAGCGAGATCCACATTTTGAAAAAAGGCCCGCCCTCCATCCGTGAAGCTCTTGCATGGTTTGAATACGAATGTGTGTGGCCCGAAGGCGAAAACCATATTTTAAAGACATGCCGCCCTCCATCCGTGAAAATCTTGCATGGTCTTGAAACGACTGTGCGCGATGCCAAAGCGAGAACCATATTCTGAAAACGACCCGCCCACCATCCGTGAAGCTTCTGCACAATTTTAAAACGAATGTGCGCGGTGCTGAGGCGAGCGGCACGTGTTGAAACGGCCCGCCCTCCATCCGTGAAGCTCTTGCAAACTGTCATATGAAGGGTCATACATTGTGAGGGAATCTCAGGCGACATGCCTGTCCCGCCCTACCGACACGCCTCTGGGCGCGACAGGGAGGAGTGATCTATAAGGAAAAGGATGGGGAGGAGGAGGAGGAGGCGGAGGAGGAGGAGGCGGAGGAGGATGATGATGATGATGATGAGGAGGAGGAGGAGGAGGAGGGAGGAGGAGGAGGATGAGGCGGAGAAGGAGGAGGGAGGAGGAGGAGGGAGGGGAAGTAGGAGGAGGGGGAGGAGGAGGAGGAGGAGAAGGAGGAGGAGGAGGAGGAGGGAGGAGAAGGAGAAGGAGAAGGAGAGGAGAAGGAGGAGGAGGAGGAGGAGGAAGAGGAGAGAGGAGGAGGAGGAGGAGGAGGAGGAGGAGGAGGAGGAGGAGGAGGAGGAGGAGGTGGGAGGGGCAGATTTCGAGCTGGAGGGCCTGGAGACGGTCTGCGCCTTTCCCGACCCTGGACGCCACCAGGTCGGGGCTGACTGCCACCCAGCGGACGGCGCCGAGCGCGGCCTTCTCGAGCGGGTCGCCCACCACCTCTGGGGCACAAGCAGGGAACGCAGAGCCCGCCCTGCGGCCACCGTGCTGCCACGCGGAACGCCACATCAGGGACGAGGCCCGCTCTTTGCCCCCGGAGGCGCCCGCGTGCAGGAGGAGCGCCAGAGGAGCGCTCCGCTGCCTGGCCCCTCTCGGGAGCTGCCAAGAGGGGGGTGTCCAAGAGGGGGGGGGGGTGCAAATCATGACCGGCGGCATGTGCGCGGCCCAGCGGGGGGGCCAGGATGAAATAAGAAGAGGCGCCATGAAATCTGGGAAATATCATGGCCCACGCCATGATATCCACCCCCCTCTAATCATCACCCCCCTCTTTTCCGCCCCTCCTGCCGGGACTGCCTGGGGACCCACGCGCCGCGAGGGGCAGCGCGCCCGGCTCTGGGGCCTCCCCCGTTCCGGCCTGCCATCGGCGGCGGCGCCCCCGGGGGGGGTCAAGCGAGGAGAGGGGGCAGCAGCACAGTGGATAGCGACCAAAGGAACAGAGCTGGCAGCACCCGAAGGAACGCTCCTCGAGGGCGAGGTCCCCTCCGAGCCTTCCGAGCAGGCCCACACCCTCTGCCCGTCCCCCCCGGGGCGCGCCGCCCGCGCCCCGCGAGGGCCCTGCAGGATGGAGTTGAAGGGGCCCTGGGACACATCAATAGATACACACAAATAACAGGATCCCCCATAGTTTCCCCTGTTTTCTGGGTGTCTGTCTTCCCCCCCCCCACACTTCCCATTTTTTTAAAATTTTCCTGGGGGTCGACGATTAATTGTGTCTGTGTGTTCTTTTAGGATGGAGTGCGGCGCAGAGCCGCAGATCTCCCGCGGCAGCGCTCGCAGGAGGTCTGGGGCTCGGCCTGCCTTCCGACCCCCTCTCCCCGAAGGAGCGCAGGGGGCGCCATCCACGCTCCGCTGCTCCAGCCGTTCTCCCGCCCCTCTGTCCCGGGTGGTGGGAAGGGCCCTCCTCGTCATCCCCTCTGTTCTGCTCCTCTTGCCGTAAGTCGGGCCTGTCCCCCTACAGGGGGATTTTGGACGAAAAATAAAAAAAAGTCAAAACATACCCCCAAGTGGTCAAAAAATATGCCCCAAAGTCCCCAAACTATTTCTGGACTATTTTTGAACATTCCTCCTGTAGAGGGACAGGCCAGCGGCAGTGCTGGGATATCGCTCTCTCAGGACGTTTGCCAGCTCCGCGGAGCTGTTCGAATTGCATCCTTTGCATTGTGCCCCGCCCGCAGGCCGCGAAGTCCAAGAAGTCCCTGCCATAGTTCGGGAGCGGCCAAGAGGGGGGTGTCCAAGAGGGGGGGGTGCAAATCATGACCGGCGGCATGTGCGCGGCCCAGCGGGGGGGCCAGGCACGTAATGAAATAAGAAGAAGCGCCATGAAATCTGGGGAAATATCATGGCCCGCGCCATGTAATCCACCCCCCCCTAGTCATCACCCCCTCTTTTCCGCCCCCGACATAGTGGAGGCAAACATCAACTTTCGGAGGTTCGCGCGGATCTGCTGGGTCGGCGCTGGATCCCCCTGCCTGGCGCGCAGATCGCGCCAGGGACTGCGCCGGAGGCGCCTCCAGGGTGCCCAGCGCAGATCCAAGAACCCCGCGCAGAGCTCCGAACCTTCACGTTTATGCCGAGCTCTTCTTCGATTCCACTGCTCCCCTCCTCTCGTTCTCGTCCCTCCTCTCTCTTTTCCCTCGTGTGCGTCCTCCGTGCCCCAGGACACTTCGAGGGTCCTCTTTCCGTGGCGGCGGGAAGCCCGCCACGGGAAAGTCAGGGGGGCACTTGCTAAGGGGGGGAAATCGACTCGGAATCGGCGATTCATCGCCGGTGGATCGGATAGGCCTTGGTAGCGAGACCACATGGTCCTGGGCGGGGGTGGGCTATCGGGCCCTTATCGGCGATCGACGGGAGATCGGGGGTCGATGCATCCCCCCTGAGCCTATCCCCTGATGGTTTTCGGGCCAAAGCCTGGGCATCTGGCTGTCGTTCGGGACGATTCGGGTACCCCCCGGGCGCTCTTGGCAAGGCGGAGCGGCTGAACGCATAAGGAGGGTGGAAGACCGCCGAGAACAGACGAAAGCGTCGGAAAACTCGAACATCCCCCCCCCCCCTCCCCCTTGAGCCTATCCACAAGGTGGTGGCGCGAGGGGGTGGGCTTCCAAGAGGGTGGGGGGCTTCTCAAAACGTGGGGGCCTTCTCAGAGGGCCCTGGAGGCTTCTGAGAAGGCCTCCTTGAAGTTCGGGCGGGCCCCTGAGAAGCCCCCGTGCCTTCACAAAGCCCCGCCGCCCTCTTGAAAGCCCACCCCCGCACGCGCCACCGCCCGTGAACGTTTTCCTGTTCGGCGTTTCGACATTGAGCGAAAAGGGGGGGTGGGATCTGGCTCCAGACCTCTGCTTCATGCGACTGCTTCATGGGGGAGCCTTCGCCTGCTCGAAACGGGCGCCAAACACAGCCAAGATCTACTCCATGGGGTGGGGGCGGCGGGGGGGGTGCGAGGGCCCGCGCCGATCGGCAAAGCAGTGAATCAGAGAACGACGACGTGCTGGCGCCGCCGAGAAATACTCCCGCCCCGACCAGTGTTTGCCCCCCACCCCCTGGCCAAGTGTTCCGAAGGTGCCCTGGGACACACAAACAAATACACAAATAACAGGATTCCCCATATGTTCTCATATTTTCTGGTCGTCTGTCTTCCCCCACTTCCCATGTCTTCCCATATCTTTTGGAGAATCAACGATTCATTGTACCTTTTTTTCCCTCCTGATGTTCGGCCCCCATGGCCTCGCCCTCGATCGGCGTCAGACTGTTGCAGGCGGCCATCACCGCGGTCGCCAGGAACGGCAGCGCCTGCCCGAATGCCGCGGCGCCGCCGCCCTCCTCGCCCCGTTCCGGGGGCGCGGAGCCTCGGGCGGGCAAGGAGGAGGAGGAGGAGGAGGAGGAGGAGGAGGGAGGAGGAGGAGGAGGAGGAGGAGGAGGAGGAGGAGGAGGAGGAGGAGGAGGAGAGGGAGGAGGAGGAGGAGGAGGAGGAGGAGGAGGAGGAGGAGGAGGAGGAGGAGGAGGAGGAGGAGGAGGAGGAGGAGGAGGAGGAGGAGGAGGAGGAGGAGGAGGAGGAGGAGGAGGAGGAGGAGGAGGAGGAGGAGGAGGAGGAGGAGGAGGAGGAGGAGGAGGAGGAGGAGGAGAGGAGGAGGAGGAGGAGGAGGAGGAGGAGGAGGAGGAGGAGGAGGAGGAGGAGGAGGAGGAGGAGGAGGAGGAGGAGGATCGCCAGTGCATCGCCAACGTATCCGCGATGCATCCGCGACGCATCGGCGATGCCTACGCGATGCATCGGCGACGTCGGCGTGGGGAAACATGGGCTCCGCATCGAGCCGCATCGCCGATGCATCGGTGATGCGGCGCGATCCTCCGACCCCATCTGCTCCGACCCCGTCTAGGAGGCCTAGAGCGGTCTTCCAAGAGGGCCCCCCCAAACCTGGGCAGCCTCGCGCTGCGAAGAGGCCACGGCGGGAAGGTTCTGGTAGCTTTCGGCTTCTGGGGGCCCTCTGGCGGGCCATTCCCGACCGACTGGCGCGGTCCAAACAACTCCTTCCTGGAATAAGGGGAATCGACAGAACCAATAACTTTCGGAGGTCCGCGCGGATTTCTCGGATCGGCGCTGGACCCCCTTGCCGGCACTCTGCACGCCAAGGAGAAGGGGGGGGGCAACCCTGTCTATGCCGTCTCTTGCTCCTGGCAAAGAGGCTCGGGCGCAGGCCAAACTACCCCGCTTCCGTCAGAAGGGCCCTGCTGCCCGTCAAACGCCCCACGCCTGCTGCTCTCTGAGGGAGCGGGGGGGTCCTTCTTCGGAGGCTTCCCACCACATCGGAAGGCCAGTGGGGCGAATTACCCTCGCCTCCGACACATCCAACAGCTGGCATGGCGCCGACCGTACCTGCCATGTTCTGGGGTCGGGGGGGTCCTCTCCGGGCCCAGCAGCCGAGGAAAGGGGGATGGTGTCGGAAGCTCTGGGGGCCGGCGGACTGCAGACATGGCCACGTCTTGTTTTGTGTAAGTACAGTCAACCCGTATCGTAAGGACGATAAGGATGCAAGGGCCTTGGAAGGCCACGTCGACACTTTGCGAGCGGGGCGCGGCCAGCGAATGCGGCCGAGGATGGGCCGGCGGGGAAAAGATGCAAGGACACCCTTGGGAAGGTCGCCCATTCTTGCTATGCGGGTTGACCATCTCTCTCTCCCTCTCTCCCTAGTGTTAGGTCGGGCCTGTCCTCCTACAGGGGGATTTTGGACGAAAAATACCCACATGGCAACACAAATAATCAAAAAATAGTCCCCAGACTATTTTTGACTATTTTGAATATTCCTCCTGTAGAGGGACGGGCCCGACTTAACTCTAGTGGCTCCGCTCCCCAGCCCGCAGGTGCAGTACGCAGCAGAAGAGTGGTGGCTGGTGTGGCTCCCTCTGGCCTGGAGACGTCACAGCGTCGGAGGTCTCGGGCCGGGGGGGGGGGGGGGGCGGCCCTCGATCCCCCAGAAGCCACACGCTCGTTGCCTTCTGGGGGCGGAAACGGAGCCTTCGAAGAAGAGGAGGAGGAGGAGGAGAAGGAGGAGGAGGAGGAGGAGGAGGAGGAGGGGGAGGAGGGGAAGGATGATGATGATGATGATGATGATGATGATGATGATGATGATGATGATGATGATGATGAGGAGGAGGAGGAGGAGGAAGAAGAGGAGGAGGAGGAGGGGGGGAGGGGGGGGGGCGGCTCACGGGGGGACGCATCGAGCTGGAATCGGCGATACATCGCCGATAGATCGGCGATGGGTACCCGAAAGCGAAAAGCCCACGGTCCTGGGCAGGAAGGGCTATCGGGCCCCTATCGGCATTAATGTGCGGTTGGGGGTCCATGCGTGCCCCCCTGAGCATATTTCCCCCCTGACGTTGCCCCTGAAGAACTCCTTGCCCTGACCCCTCCCTTCTTGAAGGCCGTCCTAGTGGGGTCCGAGCAGATGTTGTCGGAGGATCGCGCTGCACCAGCGATGCATCGGCGACGTTAGGGTTGGATAAGCTCGGGCTCCGCGTCACGCCGAATGGCGGATGCATCGGCGATTCGGCGCGATCCTCCGACCCCGTCTGCTCGGACCCCGTTTGGGCGGCCTGGACTTCTGCGCGCGCCGCCAGTGAGAAACAACAAATATGCCACATCGCTAAGAGAATCACAACATCTTTCTGTAGCATTTCTCGAGCCAAATCGGTCCGCAAGTGTCCCGGGCCCCGAATCTGGGCGCAAACTCTCGCTGCGAAACGCATACTGCGGCGTCTGAATCCCCGGCCTCTGCGCACCCGGAATCGTTCTCTGACAGTCCGGGGGCCCGGCGAGGGCTACCCGCAAGCCGAAAACGACGAGAAACATTCCGCTGCCAACACCTTTGACGGCACGAGTCGGGGGGGGTGGTCTCTTCCTCCTCCTCCTCCTCCTCCTCCCGCCTTCCCTCATCCCGCCCTCCTCCTCCTCCTCCTCCTTTCCCCTCTTCCTCGGCTCTGGGCTCGGCATCGATCCGCAAAAAATCCTGGGCCCCGAGCCTGGGCCCAGACCCCCGGCGCGAAGAAACCAGACGGGCGGCGCCCGTGCCTCTCGGGGGACGCGGGCGGCGCCCGTATACCGAAACAGCCCGGCGGCACCCGAAACAAAAAAATGCACGCGCCGCCACGGGCCTTCGAGACCGTGGACGCCGTCGACCTCCATGGAGTCGCTGGTGAGCGTGCCGGTCTTGTCGAAGCAGCAGGTCTCCACGCGCCCAGCGAGGGGTACTCGGAAGGGCTCGGTGCAATAGATCTGCCTCTTCACGAGGGCGACGAGGCTGAGGTTCACGGCCAGCGACAGCATGATGGGGAACTCGGGGGGCACGACCGCGGTGATGATGTGGCTGATGCTTGGCGGCGCGCGCAAGGGGGTGGCGTGGCGGGGCGGCCTTCTGAGGAGGCCAGGGGCTTGTCGGGGGGCAAGGGAGGAGGCGGAGGAGGAGAATGAGGAGAAGGAGGTCGAGGATGAGGATGAGGATGATGATGATGATGATGATGATGATGATGAGGAGGAGGAGGAGGAGGAGGAGGAGGAGGAGGAGGAGGAGGAGGAGGACCAGTGTAAACCCAAGAGTCATCAACGATGTTGGAATTAACCCTCCCTCCAAGCTCCCGCTTCATGGGACCCATACAACGGTTCATTTCCATTGAGGGAAATGCGTCGTTGGACGACAATCGTTTGAAGACCCTAAAGCATGCCAACACATTGTTCTCGGGGTTCCAACGCCATGGATTAACCTGACTGCTACGTGTTGGCGATCTGGAATCGTGACAGAACGCCATTTTTGGGACTTCAACACCGCACATCAACATAACTGTTGCGCCCGCGTAATCCTCAACCTTTTCAAAACACCATTTCCTGTACGTTGATGATTGGAATCCGTGAAAGTCTTTTAATTGTTTAAATCGAGTGTACATGGCGCTAAGACGAGAGCCACATTTTGAAAAGGAACCGCCCTCAATCCATGAAGCTCTTGCAATGTTTTAGAGGGATGTGCGCGGCGCTTAGACGATAATCACATGTTGAAAAATGAGTCGCCCTTAATCCGCGAAACTCTTTCGAATGTTTTAAACGAATGTGCGCGGCGCTGGGGAGAGCCACATTTTGAAAACGACCCGCCGGCAAATGCTTAAAACGAATGTGCGCCGCGCTAAGGCGAGAGCCACAATTTGAACGCGACCTGCCCTCAATCCGTGAAGCTCGTGCAAATTTTTAAAACGAATGTGCGCCGCGCTAAGGCGAGAGCTACATAGGCTGGAGGAGGGCTTCCAAGAGCGCCCCTGCCTGGTCACCAGCCCCCGGCCCCCCCGACTTTCCTCAGGAGGCCGCCCGCCCCCCGTCCCACCCCCCTCTGCGCGCCGCCAAGACGGAGAGGAACAGCTTGAAGTTCGTGCGGGCTGGCTCGTCCACGCGCGTGGGGGCCTCAGATCTCCTCAAAAACGCTGCGTGGTTTCCAGCGCTCTGCGCTCTTGATCTGACCAGCACGTGATAACAAAAAACACGGCCAGCCAGGAAGTGGGCGTGTGGGCGTCAGGCAGGCGGCCTCGTGATATCTGAGCACGTCTCCCGAAGCGCAGCGAACACTGGAAGCACGCGGGCAGGTGGGCCACGGGCCGATCCCAGACCCGAGAAAACAAGAACGGTGGCGCCCAAAATTAGTAAATGAACGTCGACGGAGATAACGCCTTCAAGATTTTTGAGAACATCGCTCAACATCGGTGCACGGACCCCTCCCGGGGTCGACACTTACTATTTTTTCGAGCTGCGCCCAGCCGCGTGGCGACGAGGGGGCACCTTTCTCTCCCCCCTTCTGCTGGCCAGAACCTGGCCCCCCAACTGGCTCCGACTCTAAGGTGGGGTCCACGACGAGGCCGTCGTGGAGCACGTAGCAGCAGGCCCCCACCGCGAACGCGAGCAGGATCATGAGGAAGTGCAGCGCCTCGCGGCTGGACACGGTCACCCGCTCGGCGCTGAACAGGATGGTGCGGCACAGCTTGCCCTGTCTCTTGGAGAGGAGGAGGAGGAGGAGGAGGAGGAGGAGGAGGAGGAGGAGGAGGAGGAGGAGGAGGAGGGAGGAGGAGGAGGAGGAGGAGAGGAGGAGGGAGGAGGAGGAGAGGAGGAGGAGGAGGAGGAGGAGGAGAGGAGGAGGAGGAGGAGGAGGAGGAGGAGGAGGAGGAGGAGGAGAAGAAGGGAGGAGGAGGAAGAGGAGGAGGAGGAGGAGGGAGGAGAGGAGGAGAAGGAGGAGGAGAGGAGGAGGAGGAGGAGGAGGAGGAGAGGAGGAGGAGGGAGGAGGAGGAGGAGGAGGAGGAGGAGGAACCACGACCCCCTCGCGTCGTGAAAAAAATCACGACGGGAGATGCGTGTGGCTATCTCTGGCTTCTGAGGGCCGTTTGCGGGCCCTGGGGCCGTCAAACAACAGGCCAGGGTGGAGGGCCAGTCCTGTGGAGTGAATCTAGACTAAGTCGGGCGTGTCCCCCTACAAGGGGATTTTGGACGAACAATTCAAAATAATTATAGCCGGAGTGCAGTATCCCCAAACAGGGTATTTAAACCCACTGCGGTTTCCAAGGTCGATTGCGTGCCCGTTCAGTGCGGCCAGAGGCGCAGCAGCGGGAGGCGGGAGGCGGGATGAGGGAGGAGGGAAGAAGAGCCAGGTGGGAAGCGGGAAGAGAGGGAGGCGGGAGAAGGAATGAGAAATGTTGTGATTGGAGCCCGTGTGCTACGAAACGTCTCAGGCAGAACGGCCCAGACCATCTCGCGCGCAACATCTTCGAGCTTCGCATTGTGAGGATGGCTCAAGCGAAACGGGCCGGACCACCTCGCGAGCATCCTGGAGCTCAGTATTGGAAAGATGTCTGAAACGAAACGGGTCGGACAACCTCTCGCACACGTTCTGACAAGTCCACGTCACACTCGCTTCCCATTAGGTCCTCTCCTGCAATTCCCTTCCTTCTCCCTCCTCCTTCCTCCTCCTGCCTGCTCCCTCATCCACATCATCCTCCTCCTCCTTCTCCCTTCCATCTCCTCCTCCTTCTCCTCCTCCCCCTCCTCCTCATCCACCTCCTCTTCATACCGAACGGCATCTCGGAGCCCAAAGTTGCGAGGATGTCTCCAGCGTAAAGGGCTGGACCACCTCGCGCACGGCATCTCGGACCCCAGAGTTGCGACGATGTCTCGGGCGAAATGTGCTGCGAGGAAGTCTCAGGCGAAACGGGCCGACCCCTCGAGCGCGGCGTCTCAGAGAACTGAATTGCGGGGGCCTCCTGGGGCCTCCAGGGGACCTCCTGGGGGGTTCCTCCTGGGCCTCCAGTCGCCTCCTGGGCCCCACCTGGGGCTTTCTGAAGCCTCTTGGGGCTCCCAGGGGGGATATCTAACATGTGGCCGTCTGGGCCCCTCAAAATGGAGGGGGGGCCACAAGAGCAGGAAAAATCAACGAATCGACACCAAATGTGTATTAACTTGGCACGTTCTGATAGGGGGCCTCCTGGGGCCTCCTGGGAGCCTCCTGGGAATCTGCTGGGGGCCCCTGGGGACCCCTGGGGCCTGTCCTGGGCGTCCTGCGGCCTCCTGAAGCTCTCTGGGGTCTCCTGGGGTCCCAAGGGGGATATGTAACATGCGGTCTTCTGGGCCCCCAGGCTGGACCACCTCTTGCGCGGCATCTGGGAGCTCAGAGTTGCGAGAATGTCTTGTGCGGGCCAGACCACCTTGCGCACGGCAAAGCTCAGAGTTGCGAGGATGTCTCAGGCGAGACGGGCCGGACCACCTCGCGCAGGGCATCTCCAAGGTCAGAATTGCGAGGATGTCTCAGGCGAAACGCGCCAGGCCACCTCGCGCACGGCATCTCAGAGCTCAGAATTTGGAGGATGTCTCAGGCGAGACGGGCCGGACCACCTCTCGTGCGGCATTTTGGAGCTCAGAGTTTGGACGTCTCAGGCGAGACGGGCCGGACCACCTCTCGCGCAGCATCTAGGAGCTCAGAGTTTCGAGGATGTCTAAGGCGAAACGGGCCGGACCACCTCTCGCGCGGCATCTCGGAGCCCAGAGTTGCGAAGATGTCTCAAGCGAAACGGGCCAGACCACCTCGCAAGCGTCATCTCGGAGCCCGGAGTTCCGAAGATGTCTCAGGCGAAACGGGCCGGACCACCTCTCGCACGGCACCTCGGGGCTCAGAGTTTCGAGGATATCTCAAGCGAAACGGCCCGGACCACCTTTCGCGCGGCGTCCCGAAGCGCAACTTTTCGAGGATGTCTCAGGCGAAACGGCCAATCCCAGGCAACTCAGAAACGAGAGTTGTGAGGATGTCTCAAGCGAAACGGCCCGGACCATCATATTTTTCTGAGGATGTCTCTGCTCCCCTTTCCCTCGGCCGGAGTTAGTTTCTATCACAACAGCACCCCGTTCAGCAAGCTGTTTGGGGAAGAAAAATCCTGTTTGGGAAACCCTGTCTTGGAGCCCAGAGTTGCGAGGATGTCCCAGGTCGCACCTGGTCGACGAGTAAGCTGTCGGGTCGGCACTGTGAGAGGCTCCACCGCCATGCTGTGAACTCAGAAGCAACTTTAAGAGGAAGCGGGGGAGGGCGCGGAAGCGGGGGGGCATGTCGTGATGGTTCCCCCAGGGATGATATCGAGAGGTACGCGGCGCACGTCTCAAAAGAAAAATCATGACGTCGGATGTCTGGGGAGGGCGGAAGGCAGTGCGCGCATGACGGATGCTGAGGCGGCAGAAACGACGACGGCGGGACGGGGAGGCGGAGGCAGAGGCGCAGCAGCGGGAGGCGGGAGGCGGGAGGAGGGAGGAGGGAAGAGGAGCCAGGCGGGAAGTGGGAAGAGGGAGGCGGGAGAAGGAATGAGAGAGGTTGTGATTGGAGCCCCTGTGCTACGAAACGTCTCAGGCAGAACGGCCCAGACCATCTCGCGCGCAACATCTTCGAGCCTCGCATTGCGAAGATGGCTCAATCGAAACGGGCCGGACCACCTCGCGAGCGACATCTTGGAGCTCAGTATTGGAAGGATGTCTCAAACGAAACGGGCCGGACAATCTCTCGCACACGTTCTGACAAGTCCACGTCGCACTCGCTTCCCGTTAGGTCCTCTCCTGCAACTCCTCCTCCTCCTCCTCCTCCTCCTCCTCCTCCTCCTCCTCCTCCCCCTCCTCCTGCCTGCTCCCTCATGCACATCATCCGCCTCCTCCTCCCTTCCATCTCCTCCTCCTCCTCCTTCTCCTCCTCCCCCTCCTCCTCATCCACCTCCTCTTCATACCGAACGGCATCTCGGAGCCCAAAGTTGCGAGGATGTCTCCAGCGTAACGGGCTGGACCACCTCGCGCACGGCATCTCGGACCCCAGAGTTGCGACGATGCCTCGGGCGAAACGTGCTTCAAGGAAGTCTCAGGCGAAACGGGCTGGACCACCTCGAGCGCGGCGTCTCAGAGCTCCGAGTTGCGGGGGCCTCCTGGTGCTTCCTGGGGCCTCCTGGGGACCTCCTGGGGCTTCCTCCTGGGCCTCCTGTGGCCTCCTGAACTCCACCTGGGGCTTTCTGAAGCCTCTTGGGGCTCCCAGGGGGGATATCTAACCTGTGGCCGTTTGGGCCCCTCAAAATGGAGGGGGGGGCACAAGAGCAGGAAAAATCAACGTATCGACACCGGATGTGTCTTAACTTGACACGTTCTGATAGGGGGCCTCCTGGGGGCTCCTGGGAGCCTCCTGGGAATCTCATGGGGACCCCTGGGGCTTGTCCTGGGCGTCCTGCGGCCTCCTGGAGCTCTCTGGGGCCTCCTGGGGCTCTGGATATGTAACATGCGGTCTTCTGGGCCCCCAGGCTGGACCACCTCTTGCGCGGCATCTGGGAGCTCAGAGTTGCGAGAATGTCTTGTGGGAAACAGGCCGGACCACCTTGCGCACGGCATCTCAGAGCTCAGAGTTGCGAGGATGTCTCAGGCGAGACGGGCCGGACCACCTCGCGCAGGGCATCTCAGAGCTCAGAAATTCGAGGATGTCTCAAGCGGGCTCCCAGGGTCCCAGGGAGGATATGTAACATGTGGTCTTCTGGGCCCCCAGGCTGGACCACCTCTTGCGCGGCACCTGGGAGCTCAGAGTTGCGAGAATGTCTTGTGCGAAACAGGCCAGACCACCTTGCGCACGGCATCTCAGAGCTCAGAGTTGCGAGGATGTCTCAAGCGAAACGGGCCGGACCACCTCGCGCAGGGCATCTCAGAGCTCAGAGTTTGGAGGATGTCTCAGGCGAAACGGGCGGGACCACCTCTCGCGCGGCATCTCCGAGGTCAGAGTTTCGAGGATGTCTCAGGCGAAACGGGCCGGACCACCTCGCGCAAGGCAACTCAGAGCTCAGAAATCCGAGGATGTCTCATGCGAAACGGGCCGGACCACCTCTCGCACGGCACCTCGGGGCTCAGAGTTTCGAGGATGTCTCAAGCGAAACGGCCTGGACCACCTCTCGCGCGGCGTCCCGGAGCGCAACTTTTCGAGGACGTCTCAGGCGAAACGGCCAATCCCGGCCAACTCAGAAACGAGAGTTGTGAGGATGTCTCAAGCGAAACGGCCTGGACCATCAAGTTTTTGTGAGGATGTCTCTGCTCCGACTTCCCTCGGCCAGAGTTAGCTTCTATCACAACAGCACCCCGTTCAGCAAGCTCTTTGGGGAATAACTCACAACTACCCCGAAATGGTAAAAAAAAAAAACAAGAAAGTCGTCCCCACGTTATTTTTTGGATATTTTTGCATATTCCCCCTGTAGAGGGACAGGCCCGACTTAAATCTAGACCTCCGGGGAGCCACGCCTGAGACACAAACACGACGTCGAGGTGCTGGGAAGTTGAGGAAGGGACGCTAGCGAGAACGAGAGAACATAATATCAAGAAACGGCATAAGCACAACAGTCGGAGCTCCGAGCGGATTTCTTGGATCTGCGCTTCTCGTCGATCTCCTCGGGCTTCGGCCCTGGTCTCCCAATTTTTCATCTGGATTTGGGGTGCCCTCCCTGAACAGGTCAAGAAACAAAGATATCAAAATGAAGGGGCCCAGGGACACACAAATAAATACACACAAATCCCAGGATTCCCCATACTTTTCCATATTTTTTGGATTTTCGTCTTCCCCCCCAGTGTCAATATTTTCCAATATTTTCCTGGGAACCGTCGATTAATTGTGTCTGTGTGTTTTTTCCCCTCCTGGCTTTGGGGTGCCTTCCCTGAACAGGTCCAGAGACAATGATACCAAAAAGGCTTCGTCGGCCGAGGGTCGCGCGGCCTGCGTGGTGTCGAAGCCCGTCCTCAGCACGTACCCCACCGCTGCCGGTGCGCCTCCGTGAAAGGGCACCTTCTTGAAGTTCTTCGCCTTGGAACTGTTCTGGTGCAGCATGATGCTCGTCCCCGCGCTCACCTGAGCATCTTTCGGGGGCGCGCAGACATGGATTAGCGATCCATGGATTTGGCGTGCGGTCGCCCAATCCATGGATCGGGGGAGGTGCCCCCTCAAAATGCGGCAGGTGCCGCCTCGTTCGGCGGCGGAATTCCGCGATTTTCCATGGAAACGGGACGCGTCACTAATCCACGCCCCCTTGATCCATGTCTGCGATGGCCTGCATCGTTTCACCGATCCCCATACACGCTGGCGTGGCCCCGCTGGCCGATTCACCCCCCAAAAAGGGGGAGATGGGCTGCTCCCTTCGGCTGTCTTAGGGGCATATCCCGCACTGGGGTGGTGGGATGGTGGGGATCGGGATGGGGATGGCACGTAGATGCCTCCTTGCTGGGGTCGGAGTAGATGGGGTCGGAGGACCGCGCCGCATCGGCAGTACATCGGGGATGCACGGGCGATGCACTGCCGCCGTCGGGCTCCGCATCGAGCCGCAGCGTCGATGCATCGGCGATGCGGCGCGATCCTCCGGCCCCATCTGCTCGGACCCCGTCTAGGAGGCCTAGAGTCGGCGGAGGACAAACCTCCCTTTGGCGGACCTCCCTCTAGTGAAAACGGCCTAAGACCGAAACCGACGGACCTGGACCCGCAAAAATGACGGCCGCGACGCCCTCTCGCGAGCCGAAGACGGCCACTTCGCTAATCGACGTGTCAGGGTAGGAGGTCTGTCCATCCTCGATAGAGATGGGGCTCGGGATCGGTTCCACGACGCCGAGCACCACGTTCTGCTTGTGCGCGCCCCTCATGTCCAAGGGCGCCCGCAGCTCCGGGCTCTCCGGGCCGGGCGTGGGTGCCACCTGGCCCGCCCAGGGAACCCTGGGCCCCCCGGGTTGGCACCGCTTCCGGGGGCGCCTCTTCTGCCCTCCCCTCCTCTCAGAGGCGAGCGAGGGGGAGAAGCGAGAAGGAGAAGGCCGTCTCAGAAGGTTCGGAAGTCCCCCCGAAGACGGGACAAAACTTCTCAGAAGGCGCGAGGGCTTCTGAGAAGCTTCTCATTTCCCCCGCTCGCTCGCTGCCCATCTTTGGGTCGCACTGCCCCCTGCCGCGTCAGGCTCTGGAGGCTCCGTGAAGGGCCAGCTGAAAGGCTGCTGCAACCGCGGCGCCATCGGGTCCGCAATCGATGCGAGGGCCCGCGGAGACGTGCAGGGTGGACGACAGGCCAGCTCCTGCTGCCTCCGCCAGCTTCCGCCGGCGGAGCTGCCCCCGCTCTGCGGCCGCCGCCTTCCGCGGAGGAAGAGCGGCCAATCCTCCAGGCTCCTCGAGTTCTGTCGCTCCCATCGTACTGAAGGGCTACATCCTAGAAATCATTCCGAGCGCCCAGGAAAGCATCGGAACGGTGTCGAACGGGTATCGCCTCCCAGGGGCCAACAAGTGAAGACCCTCCAGTTTCGGTGCTCTCTTGGTGCTCGAAATTCTTTCTGGTGGCTAATTCTAAAATAGGTTGGAGCTAGAGGGCGAGGCCCTCGTTTTGTTGAACTGCCTGACCTTCATCTGCGGGACGCTCTCGCCCGTGAGCATGGACTCGTTCACGAGCACGCTGCCCTGCCCGATGGGGGGCAGCGAACGGCACGAGCACAAGCTCAAACTCTCGGATGTCGGCGCGGATGTCTTGGGTCGGCGCCAGACCTTTGTTCCCAACTATCCTGTGGTGACGGGTCCTCGTTTTGAAGAAACAGCACCCCGCGTTCTCCTCCTTCCTTGTTCCTCCCGTCCTCCCTCCTCTCCCTCCTTGCCTCTGCCCTCCGCATGTCTCTGTTTCGGCACAACCAGTACAACGTTTCGTGGCCCCATAGGGAGCTCCACCGAAGGCCCCAGTGCCAGGGCCCGCATGCCGCCAATTCGACATTTCGGCACACCCCTCACACGTTTCGTGGCCCCATACGGAGCTCCACCGAAAGCCCCAACGCCAAGGCCCGCGCATGCCGCCACCTCGCCATGTCGGCACACCCCTCACACGTTTCGTAGCCCCGTAGGGAGGTCCACCAAAGGGCTCAATGGCAAGGCTTGCATGCCGCCACCTCGCCATCTCGGCACACCCAGTACACGTTTCGTAGCCCCGTAGGGAGCTCCACCGAAGGCCTCAGTGGCAGAGCCCGCATGCCCACGTCTCGTGACCTCATGGGGAGCTTCACCGAAGGCCCCAGTGCCAGGGCCCGCATGCCGCCACCTCGCCATTTCGGCACACCCCTCACACGTTTCGAAGCCCCGTAGGGAGCTCCACCGAAGGCCCCAGTGCCAGGGCCCGCATGCCGCCAGCTCGCCATTTCGGCACACCCAGTACAAAATTTCGTGGCCCCATAGGGAGCTTCACCGAAGGCACCGAAGGCCCCAATGCCAGGGCCAGCATGCCGCCACCTCGCCATGTCGGCACACCCCTCACACGTTTCGTAGTCCCGTAGGGAGCTCTACCGACGGCCTCAGTGTCAAGGCCCGCATGCCGCCACCTCGGAATGTCGGCACACCCGTCACACGACACGTTTAGTGGCCCCTTAGGCAGCTCCACCGAAGGCCCCAATGGCTGCGTTCGCATGCGGTTCCACCCCCCCATTTCGGCGAACCGCTCACGCGTTCCGTGGCCCCACAGGGTGCTCCACTTGAGGCTACAGTGCCCGCATGCTGTTCCATTCCACATTTTGGTGCACCCTCGCACGTTTCGTGGCTTGAGGCGGCATCACCGAAGGCCGCAGCGGCAGGGTCCGCATGTTGGTGCCGCCCCATTTCTGCGCACCCCTCGCACGTTTCGTGGCCCAATGGGGAGCTACACCGAAAGTCCCAGTGGAACAGGCCGCCTGCCGCCGACGGGCCGCTTTGGCACACCCCTCAAGCGTTTCGTGGCCGCATAAGAGGATCCACCGAAGATGGTACTCACAACTGCGATACGTATCACTGCTTATGGTTGGGTCTTTCGCCAGGCTAATCTTTTGGCGCGCTTCGCGCGCCCATGGGCGGCGTCGCAGGCGCCGCCAAGGGGGGAGGGCCTGCGCCGACTCAAGAGATCCGCGCGGACCTCTGAAAATCAATGTTTCTGGCCGACAGATGCGATTCGAAATCTTGCCATACGAACTTGTTGGGCACATTCTTCGTGGATCTTTGAGGGTGCTGGGGTGCCCCAGAGCTCCTGCGGGCCCCTGCTGGCCGGCCGACTTCTGACTTGCTGTGCCTGCTGCGTGTCGTTTGCCCCTCCGCCTGCAGGAGCAGCACGTCGCAGGGGAACGACACGTCCGCCTTGCGGGCCACCGCCACGACGTCCCCGGGCAACAGCTGGTCGCTCATCACGCTCTTCCACGCGGAGTCGCGGAATACCCCCACTGGCCGCGGCGGGATCCGCATGCCCCGCAGCTCCGACAGGTCGGACCGCCTCCCCCTCCCCTCGCCCCTGCCGCATCGGGGAGGAGGATGCATGGAGGGAGGCAAGGATGCCGCGAACCGTGGTCTCGGGTCACGGTTTGAGTGTTTCCTGAAGGAGTCGTGGGGCAATTTTGGGCCGTCTTAGGGCCCTCTGTGGGCAACCTCTGAGCCCTCTTGGGCTGTCTTGGGGCTCTCTTTGAGTGTCAAGTTTTTTTTTGGGGGGGTTGTCTTGGCGTTCTCGGACACCCGGAAGACCGAATAGCCGAGTAGCCCAAAATCATTCAAAATCCGTAGGAAGATCAATCTTTTCTGTGTTTCGAAAGCCTCTTGGGCGTGATATTTGGGCTGTCTTCGGGTTTCTGGCGGGGGTCTGGGGCCGCTGGAGGCCCTCTTAGACCGTCTTGGGGGTCTCTTGGGACCGCCGCTGACCAATTTGCACGGCGTGGCAGGGACTTCCAGAGGCCTGGAAATCTCGGGGGACACTCTGAGGGGTCGTCAAGAAGCCCTGGGCGCCAGGGAACCCGTTTCTGGGGTGTGGGGGGGTGGTTTGCAGGGTCCCAGATAAAAGAAATATGGAAAGATGATCATATATATATGTATATATGTTTATACACGTACATTTGCATATGTACATATACATATATGCACATGTATGTATGTATATATATATATATATACACCAGAAGCATCGCGCGCTTCGCGCGAGCTCAAATTGTAGCTAGGCTGGATGGTCGAACTCGTGGGGATCTCTATTTAATGATACTTCTTCTCCGGGGCTTCCAATGACCCAAGAGGCTTCCCAGACTTCCTAAGGTCCACCCACGGCGGCTTCAGAAAGGCCCCAGGGGCACTTCGGGGGCCCATTTACTCGCCGCGGCTGGACGTAGCCAGAGGAAGGGGGATGAGAAGGGGAGGTGAAGGGGCTCCCTGGGGGAGAAGGAGAATGAAAAGGAGTGCGCGAGGGTGGAGGAGGCCGCAGAGGAGGAGCAACAGGAGGAGGAGGGGAAGGAAATATTATATATATATATTTATATGTTTTTTTTTATTTTTTTTAAATGTATTTTTTGTTTTTAGTTGTTTTTTTTTTTGTCGTTGTTTTTTTGAAGAACAAGAACATGTTGGATGTCTTGTGTTGTTGTTTTTTCCCCCCCCTCTCAGGGCCTCTCTTGGAGCTCTTTTGGGTCTCTCTGGGGCTTCTTGGGGACCTCTTGATGCCTTCTGGGGGTCTCCTTGGGCGAACATCTCGGGTTCTGGGTTCACGTTCTCCGTCCTGGGCCGCGGTTGGGGCCCTCTCGGACCTTCTTGGACGTCTCTTCAGCAATTTTGGAGCCGTCTTGGCGCGCTTTTGAAACCAATTGGGCCGTCTTGGGGCGATCCTCGGGGCCTCTTGGGGCGTCTCGAAGCGTCGGGAAGCGAACGGAACAAGCGGAAACGCCAAACTTGTTCGAACAGGTAAGGAGCATCAGTGTTTGTTTGCCTTTTCGAGCTCTGCTGGGAGACCTTTTGGAGGCCTCTTGGGTATCTTGGGGGCCTCTTGGGCCGTCTGGAGGCCGTCTTGGGCATCATGGACCGCCTAGTGGCCTTCGGCCCATCCCGCCACCGTGCTTGGGTTGTGGGTTAGAGGCCTCTTGGAAGTTCGTTTGGATCTCGTGGGAGACCTCTCGGGGGCCTCTTGGAGACAATTTTGGAAGCCTCTTGGGGGCCGTTCGGTGGCCTCTTTTTGGGCCTCTTGGGGCCTCTAGGGGGCCTCTTGGGCTCTGTTGGGGGCCTCTAGGGGGCCTTTTGGGGCGGAAGGCTCGAATTGTCGGTCCGTGTTCCCTCTCTTGGGCCCCTCTTCGGGCCATCTTGGGGCCGTCTTGGGTGATCTTGGGCGCCTCTTGGGCCGTTTGGGAACCCTCTTGGACCGTTTTGTGGTCCTCTTGGGGGCCTCTTGGGCCGTCTTGAAGCGGTCTTGGGGGCCTCTGGGGCCATCTTGGAGCGTCGGAAGCCCATAACGCAAGAACGCGAAAACATTAACAAACAGACGGGCAATCCGCCGACCCAAGAGTTCCCCACGACGGTCCAAGAGGGTCCCGAGTCGCCGAAAGATCGTTCCAAGACGCCTAACTTGGGCCGAAAGATCGTTCCAAGACGCCTAACATGAGGCGAAGACGGCCCAAGAGGCCGCCCAGACGTTCCAAGAGGCCTCCCAGGAGGCCTCCAAGAGGCCAAACTTGTCAAATTCTCGGAAGAAAACGTGCATTTCTAGCACATATGTTTTTTCCGCCTTCACAGCGCGGAAGCCCTTCCAAGATGCCTCCAAGACCGCCCTAAGACGGCCGCATAGGCTCCCAAAAAGCACCCAACACGGCACAGGAGGCGCCCAGAACGATCCAAAAGGGCTCCAAGACGGCCCCAAGAGGGGCCCGGAAGGTTGGGCCATGAAACGAACATTCCAGCCGTCCGCCCCTAGAGGCCCCCAGGCGGCCACAAGAGGCTCCAAAAAGGCGTCTAGACGCCCCCAGAAGGCCCCCAAGAGGCCCCAAGAGGCTCCCCAGAGGCCTTCAAGAGGCCCAAGGGGCCCCAAGAGGCCTCCCAATCGGCTTCGAAATGCATCTGGTCTGCCGTCAGCCGCATGGCCTTGCGGAGCAGCCGCAAGTCCGTCAGCGCTGGAGGCGGGTCGCCCCCGCAAGCTTGTTCCCGAACTCCTTGATGGGCTGCGGCCACTCGAAGAGGCCAAAAAGGATTCTGCAGCAGCTCCATGCGGATAGGCATGGCATCCGCCTGACGGCGGGCAGGCGTTCTCCAAGCAACTGCGAGGGCTCTGTGGGCCGATAGGTGCGGCACCCGCTCGAGAGCAGCGCAACTGATCACCCTGTCCAGCTGCCCGACCGCCGACGAGTTCCAGTAGAAGCGGTCGAGACGGTTCCACACCTGTGCATTTTCGTGGGTGGCCTCAAGCTGCCGGAGTTCGTAGAAGCCGCCCGGCCTCCATAGAGTCGCCGAGGCGTCCTGCTCCTCCGAAGCGTCGCCCCGGCCAGATGCCACGGCGGTGGCCTTGACCAGCCTTTCTTCTGCCGCGACCACCCACTTGAAGTCGCCCGTCACCATTGAGAGTACTTTACTTTGCGGGGCCGTGGAATTGGCCACAGCAAGTCGCATCTGGCGGCGCTGTTCCTTCACATCCTCATTGTCCCGCCCCTCTGTCTCCATGCCCCGCGGTTGCACCAGTCCCGAAGTGCCCGTGGCGAAAAACACCACGTGGATGTCCAGCGCGCCCGCGTGCCCACGCAACTGCAGCACAGCCGCCCGGCCAGGGAACACGTGGATCCAGCGCGGCTCAATCGCCTGGAATTGTCCGAGGAAACTTTCTCGCACTACTATGCCGATGCCATCTCTGCGGGTAGTCCCAGGAGAAAACCAGGATCGGCAGCCTTGCGGACATGTCCAAGCCTTCCAGCCCGTGGGTGTCCGTCAGGGCGACGAAATCGTGGTTCTTGGCCAACGTGCCGACGTAGGCCACCTTGTCCGCGTGACTCTGCCGCTTTCTGGCGAACATGGCTTGAGTATTCCAGGAGGCGCCGGAGAAGTCCCCCAAAAACGGGAAGAGCGTCTCAGGCGGGTCGGCGCTCAGCGGCGGCGGACGCGCGAGCAGAGGCGGCACTGCTGGCGGTGGCCGCGCTGCTCGAACCCGCGGCAATCTCGGAGCTGCGGCGGCTGGGGGCAGCGATGGCAGGCTGCCCCCATGCCCGAAGAGCAGCAGCAGATGGCAGAGCGGCCGCTGGCGGCGAGGCCGCAGCTGCAGCGGGCGGCGGGGGCGGCAGCAACGGCGGAAGCAGGGCCGGCCTGGCTCTGATGCACAAGGGCACGTCGTCATGCAACACACGGGAGGCAAGAAGAGCTCGGCGTGACAACCACACGAGGCCCAGAAGGTAGCCGCTATGGCCGTCCTCGTCGAAGACCTCAATTAAACATGTATTGGCCCTCTTCGGGACCCCTCGAACCAACCTTGCGACAATCAATGAATATGGCCTCTCAAGGCCTCCTTGGGGGTCCTTTTGGGGCTCCTTCGGGCCGTTTTGGGACCCTCTTGGGTCGTATTGGGGCCCTCTTGGGCCTGCTTTGGGGGGCTTGGGCCCTCTTGGGGCCCTCTGGGGCTCTCTTGGGGACCTCCTGTAGCCCTCTTGGGGCTCTCTTGGGAACTTGTTGGGGCCCTCAGAGGCCTCTCTTCGGCCGTCTTGGGGCTCTCTTGGGCCGTCTTTGGAGCTCTCTTCGGGCCGTCTTGGCGGCCTCTTGTGCCGTCTTTGGGCGATCCTGGGGGCTTCTTGGGCAGTCGCGGACTCTGTGAAGACCAAAGAAGCAGATATGCTAAACATGTACGTTTTCCGAAGGGAGTGGGACGATGTTTGCCTCTAGGACGTCCTTTTGGAGGCCTCGTGGAGCGTCTGGAGGGCCTCTTTGGCCGTCTTGAGGCCATCTTGGGCCCTCTTTGAGCGCTCTATCTTGGGCCTCTCTTAAGCCGTCGTGGAGGTAGCTTGGGCGCTCTTGGGGCTGTCTTGGGCTGTCTTGGGGCCCGCTGAGGCGCTCTTGGGGCTGACTTGGGCCGTCTAGTCACGAACATCGCCGAACATTGTGCCGTTAGATCTGTGCCCGCAGTGGCCAACCCCCTCACACTCCCCCTTGCTATTTCTCCCGACTGGTGGATTGCGACGCTGCGCGGGTTTTTCGTCAACCGACGCCCCCTGTGGCCTGCCACAGGGGTGCACGGCGTGCCAAACGTTAGGTAGTTCTTGGTTACCAAAAAATAACTAGGGCACCTCTGGCCCAACCCGCCGACCACCCGGAAGGACCTCACTGTCCAAAACAAGTCCCCCCAAGATGGCCAAGATGGCCGCCAAGATGCCTCTCGGACGGCCTCCACGACTGTCCCAAGACGCTTCCAAGAACGCCAAGACGGCCCCAATAATGGCCAAGATGTGCTCCACACGGCCTAAGAGGCCCCCTTACACGCCCCAAGAGGACTCCAGCACGACCTCCAGGAGTCCCAGATCAATGATGCCAGCCATGTCTTCAATGATTTGAGCATTCTCAACTTTTCGGGGTTCCGACGCTCCAAGACGGGCCCATCGGCCCCCAAGCTCGCCCAGACGGCCCCAGAGGCCCCCAAGAGGCCCGCCAGACGCCCTCTAAGACGGCAGACGAGGCCCAAGACGGACCTGAAGCGCCCAAACAAGGACCCACGACTGCCCAGGGATGGCCCAAGACGGCTTCCGAAGGTAGAGGCCCCCGAGAGGTCCCCAACAGGCCCCAGGACCTCGAGGAGGCCAACATCTTTGATTCCCTTACGTTTGTTCCCGATGATTGAAACATTCTCGCCTTTTCAGGCTTCCGACGCTCCAAGACGGGCCCATAGGCCCCCAAGATCGCCCCAAGACGGCCCCAGAGACCCCCAAGAAGCCCGCAAGACGGCTCCAAGACAGCCTGAAAGGCCCCAAGAGGCCCCCAGAGACCTCCAAGACGACTCTGAAGCGCTCAAGCAGAGACCCACGACTGCCCAAGGAGGGCCCAAGACGGCCTCCGAAGACCAAGAGGCCATCAAGAGGCCCCCAAGAGGTGCCCAAGAGATGGCCCAAGACGGCCACAAGATCGCCCAAAGACGGGCCAGGAGACCTCCAAGAGGACCTCCAGGAAGGCCCAAGAGACCAACATCATAATTTTCCTTCGGTTTTTGACGAATTTTGGCGTGAGTGGCCAAGCGGCCTCCGAGATGGCCCCCTGGCGACCCAGGAGGCCCCCGAGACGGCCCCAAAAAGGCACCAAGACGGCCCAGGTTTCCTCCAAGACGCCCAAAACGGTTTCCAAGACGGCCCTGAAGCGCCCCAAATGGGCCGCATTTCGGCTCAGGGAGGCCCGCAATGTGGCTTCCGACGGCGTCAGATGGGCAATGGAACGCCCTCAGACGGCCAAAGAGTCTCCCAAGCACCCTCCAAAGGCCCCCAAGAGGCCCGCGTGCACTCCCCCCTCCCCTCCGGGGGAGGAAGGAGGGAAGCTGGCCAACACCACCCAGGCCTCCAGAAGCCCGTCTCGGGCTCATAAGACGAAGACAGGACGAAGATAAATGGGACGACGGGAATCTCTGAATGCCGGCGGCTCTGGAGGATGTATCGGGAGCCGCGGGCTCTGTAACCCGATGAAAACACTCCAGGACGCTCAGGGGCGATTTGTCTTCATCCTGGGCCTGCCTGAACATAGCTCTGCCGAGGCCTGTGGGGCAGAGACGATGCCGGGCGGAGCCGTGGTGGTGCCAGTCAGATCTCCCTCTCCCTGCCACCCCCTCCACGCCCCCACGCAGTGGGAGGAGGGAAGGAACAGTGCAGAGGAGAAAAACCCGCTGCATAAACATACACTTTCGGAAGTCGGCGCGGATCTCTCGGGTCGGTGCTGGGATCCCCCTTGGCGGTACGCTTGGCGCCGCCCCTGGCGCGCAAAGCGCGCCAAAATTATCTGGGCGAAGGACCCAACCTGTCAAGTTGTGGATGCTGTCGTTGTGAGTATCGCTTTCGGTGGATCTCCCACGAAGCGTGGGAAGGGTGTGTCGAAATGGGGCGGGCGGGGAGACGCATGCGGACCCTGCCGCTGGGCTCTTCGGTGGAGCTCCCTTCGGGACCACGAGACGTGTGAGTAGTGTGCTTGATCGGGTGCGGGTACGCCATGCGGACCCTGCCGCTGGAGCCTTCGGTGGAGCTCCCTATGGGGTCACGAAGCGTGTGAGGAGTGCGCCGAGCCGGGTGCAGGTACGCCACGCGGACCCTGCTGCTAGGGCCTTCGGTTGAGATCTGTGTGGGGCCACGAAACGTGTGAGAGGTGCGCCGAGCCGGGTGCGGGTACGCCACGCGGGCCCTACCGCGGGGTCCTTCGGAGTTCCCTATGGGACCACGAAACGTGTGAGGGGTGTGCCGAAGCGGGTGCGGGTACGCCATGCGGACCTTGCCGCTGGGGCCTTCGGTGGAGCTCCATATCGGGCAACGAAGCGTATGAGGGGGGCGCCGAACTGGGTGCGGGTACGCCATGCGGACCCTACCGTCGGGGCCTTCGGTGGAGCTCCCTCTGAGGCCACGAAGCGTGTGAGGTGTGCAAATGTGGTTCGGGTTCGCCATGCAGACCCTGCTCCTGGGGCCTTCGGTGGAGCTCCCTAGGGGGTGTGCCGAGTCGGGTGCGGGTACGCCGTGCGGACTCTGCCGCTGAATCTTTCGTTGGAGCTCCCTATTGGGCCACGAAGCGTGTGAGGGGTGTGCCGACTCGGTTTCGGGTGCGCCATGCGGACTCTGCCGCTGGAGCCTTCGGTGGAGCTTCCTGGGGGGCCACGAACCTGTGAGGGGTGTGCCGAACCGGGTGCGGGTGCGGCATGCGGACTTTGCCGCTGGGGCCTTCGGTGGAGCTCCCTATGAGGCCATGAAACGTGTGTGAGAGGTGCGCCGAATCGTGTGCGGGTGTGCCATGCGGATCCTGCCGCAGAATTTTTTGGTCGGAGCTCCTTATGGGGCCACGAAGCGTGTAAGGGGTGTGCCGAATCAGGTGCGGATGCGCCATGCGGACCCTGCTGCTGGACCCTTCGGTGGAGTTCCCAGTGGGGGCACGAAACCTGTGAGGGGTGTGCCGAAATTGTTCCGAAATAGTTGTGCGGAGGGCAAAGGCAAGGATGGGGGGAGGGAGGAGGGGAGGAGGAGGAGGAGACAGGAGGAAGGACGCGGGGCGCTGTCTCTTCAAAACGAGGACCCAACTCTACAAGATGGTGGAGAAAAACAAAGGATCCAACGCCGAGCCAAGAAATCCGCGCCGACCTCCGACATTTTTTTCTCGTGCCGTTCGCTGTGCCTCGGGCAGGGCAGCGAGCTCTTTGCACGAGCCCGGGCTCACGGGCGAGGGCGTCCCGCAGATGAAAGGCGGGGCGCGGCTTCAAAGAGGGCCCTCGCCCATGACGGGTCGGTGGGGTCGGCTCGAGCATTTCCCTCCAGGGGCAGGCGGCGCTGGAGGCGCCGCCGGTGGGGGTCCCCAACGCCGACGAAACAATCCGCGAGGGCCTTCGGCAGTTTGTGTTCATAGCGACTTTCCTGCCTCTGTCCGCTTGGCCGAGGTTGCAACAAGACGGGGCTCACACTTGCCTGCGACTGTCTGCCCTGGCCGAGCCGAGAGCTTTACTAGTTGCCTGGGCCGAGTCGCAGTCTTTCCGCCTGCGCATTCTGCGTCTGCACCAGGCGGGCAGGCGCATCACGTCATGGGAAGCAGATCGCTCCAGCGGGGCGCATGCGCGAACCGACCAGATTTTCCTCGATAGCGAGGGTGGGGGAGGAGGAGGGGGGTTCACTCAGTTTACACTCCCCTTCCCTGCCCCCCCTCCCCCTCCTGCGGTGAACCATCTGTGCTTCCAGCACGATGAGCATGAACAGTGTCAGCAGTGAGTAGTACCAGTAGTCGTCCATGAGCCACAGCAGGACGCAGAAGACCTGGAAGACAAAGAAGGGCGCCACTGCGTGCTCCTGGAAGAGCTCGCTGAACGTCGGCAGGGGGATATCGTACACGTTCGGCCCGAACTTCCGCATGGCATCCGCAACCTGCTGCTGCGCGAGGCCGTTGGAATTCACGTACGTCTCCAGGCTGGCGGTCACGCAGAACCGCAGCCGCTCGAAGGTCTGGGACTCCTGGTTGAAGACGAACTTCTTCTTGAGATACGAGATGGACGCGTCGCCGCCCTGGCGCACCAGCGGAACCAGGAGGACCCTGTGGACCTTGCCCTTGGTGGACTCCGCGGAGACGCGCGACACCTTCACGTAGCTGGCCCGGAGGAGGTCGGCCTCGCGCCGGAACCGCACGAGGCACCGGGCCTCCACCGACCACTGGGTCGCCAGGAACAGCACGACGTGCAGGCACGCGGGCAGCACGCACCACACGCAGTGCTCCCAGGCGACGGCCTCCTGGCGGAGCTCGTACGCCAGCAGCGCAGCCAGCGTGGCCCCGTAGACGCCCCCGAACGGCAGCCCGTCGTACGACCAGTACGGCGGCCGCGGCGAGTAGTACTCGAAGCGGTACTTGGCCGCCTCGCCGCCGCCCGGGGCCATCGCGCGCCTCCGGAGCGAACCCCACCCCGCGCACGCCGGCCGCGCTGCGGCGGCCAATGGAAAACACTGGGCCCAACGCCCTGGGAAGAGGGGGCGATGAATGAGAAGCCGACACGGTCGTTTTTTGGTTGCTGTTGCCACCCCTCCCTGTGCTGTTGGGTCTGTGCTTTCTTCCCGCTGCGCCGAGCGCCTCCTCCCCCCCTCCTCGCCTCCCCTCCCCTCCCCTCCCCTCCCCTCCACTCCACAATTACACAATATGAATACTACTCCCACAATGACACAATATGAATACTACTCTCCTCCTTTTTTTTGTGGCGTCCGGTGAATGTCCAGCCCCCTCCGCGTACGGCTTTTCTACACAGGATTCCCCAGAGTTGGGTTTTGGCTTGGGCATTCTTTTCAAAATGCTGCTCTCGCTGAAACGCTGGCCTCATTTTCGGGCTACCGCTCGTTCCGAATCGTGCTCCCGCTGCAGCGCTGGCCTCATTTCCGCGCTTCCGCTCGTTCCGAATCGCGCTCCCGCTGCAGCGCTGGCGTCATTATTTCCAGCGCCATGCTACGGCACGGTTTTCGGTCCTTCCAAATAGACCCCCAAAATCTAAAAAATGCACCCCCGAAAAAACCATCGGACGTGATTGCACGTTCGGTGCCGATTCGTTGATTTTTTGAGCCGCGGAAGCCCCACCCCCACTTTGGGGCGTCGCCACGCCATGCTGTGTCAGGCCACGCGTTCTCGTTTCCGCGCTGAGTTTTTTCAAAATGCTGCTATCGCTGAAGCGCTGGCTTCATTTTCGGGCTATCGCTCGTTCCGAATCGTGCTCCCGCTGCAGCGCTGGCCTCATTTCCGCGCTTCCGCTCGTTCCGAATCGTGCTCCCGCTGCAGCGCTGGCGTCATTATTTCCAGCGCCGTGCTACGGCACGGTTTTCGGTCCTTCCAGATAGACCCCCAAAATCTAAAAAATGCACCCCCGAAAAAACCATCGGACGAAATTACACATTCGGTGCCGATTCGTTGACTTTTTGAGCCGCGGAAGCCCCACCCCCACTTTGGGGCGCCGCCACGCCATGCTATGTCAGGCTACGCGTCCTCATTTCCGCGCTGAGTTTTTTCAAAATACTGCTATCGCTGAAACGCTGGCCTCATTTTCGGGCTATCGCTCGTTCCGAATCGTGCTCCCGCTGCAGCGCTGCAGCGCTGGCCTCATGTCCGCGCTTCCGCTCGTTCCGAATCGTGCTCCCGCTGCAGCGCTGGCGTCATTATTTCCAGCGCCATGCTACGGCATTGTTTTCGGCCTTCCAGATAGGTCCCCAAATCTAAAAAATGCACCCCCGAAAAAACCATCGGACGAAATTACACATACGGTGCCGATTCGTTGACTTTTTGAGCCGCGGAAGCTCCCCCCCCACCTTGCGGCGTCGCCACGCCATGCTATGTCATGCTACGCTATGCTATGCTATGTCATGCTATCTTCGACACCATGCTATGCCAAGTAATGCTGTGCCATGCTACGACATCCGATTGTGCGAATAGAGAGGAGATCTACGCCATGGTAAGGGATTGAAGGGAGGGAAAGGACGTCAGATATGACTCGAGCGCACCTAGCTTGCCTCTCCTCTCCTCCCCTCCCCTCCCCTCCCCTCCCCTCCACTCTCCTCCCCTCTCTTCCCTCGTCGTAGTCGTCGTCGTCGTCCTCCTCCTCCTCCTTCTCCTCCTCTTCCAGGTTGGCACACCACTCGCGCAGATCGTGTCCCATGGGGAGGAGCTCCACCAAACGCATCAATGGGGGCGCCCGCATGCATTCCCACGCCCATGTCGGCACACCCTCAGACGGATCGTGCCAATGGGTGCTCCACCTATGGCACCAGTGATGGTGTCCGCATGCGTTCCCACGCCCATGTCTGCACACTATTTACACGGATCATGCCCCATAGGAAGCTCCACGTACGGCACCGCGGCGCCTCATGGTGTCCCCACACCCAGTTCGACCCCCCCCTCACGCGGCGGATCGTGCCCCGTAGTTAGTTCCACCTACTGCACCATCGAGGGTGCCCGCATGCAGCTCCAGCGCCCGCGTGCGTCTCCACACCAGTCGGCAAACCACTCACACTCCCACGGGTCGTTCCCCATGGTGCGCCGTGTCCTTGGCCTGGCCAACCGTCGCCACGAGCTGCCAAATGCCCTCCCGTGCGCGGGTCTCTGCCTTCCTCCAGGCGCCCGCGCGCTCTCTGCTCAAGGCGCCCCGCGGGCAGCGCCTGCAGCGGCAGGCGCCGCGGCGCACCGGGAGCGGGTATCGCGGCGCCGCGCCGCCACAGCTCTCACGGAGGGCAGCCACCTCCATCCTGAGCGCCCTCTCGCCTTGTCCGCCGCTCCCTGGCTCAGTCCAGCTGCCAACCTTGTCAGAGTTAACCCAGAGCACCACGCCCATGCTGCCGCTGCCAACGCCCTGTCACCGCTGTCCTTGGCCTCCCTCCGCCACGAGTCGCCCTGCGGCCAGAACGCGGCCTCCATGTGGAGCACGGCGACGAAATCATCACTGTGTCCACAGCGCTTCGTGCCAAGCAGACACATCTCCGTCGAACCGACTTACCAGGGGCACCGCAGGGCGTAGCATAAATGATATCTCTCCCATTGTATCTTATATCTCTGGCCGCTTCTCTTGCATGTTTCATCGGTCCGTTCGTCACTGCAGCATTTTGGCGCGAAGCTGGTACCTCTAAGAGAGGGGTGGACCAGCGCTTTGCTTGACAAAAGGTTAACTAGCGTGGGCCCCAAACAGTGTGTTTCTATCAATCCAAATTGCACAATCGAGGTTGTGGAATCTATGCTTCGCAATCTGATGTGTGCAACATATGGAGTGGAATCTATGCTCTGCAAACGTTGTGTACAATCTATCTTGTGCAACCGACGTGGTGCAATATGGTGTGCGAAAGCTATGTGGTGAAAACTATGCTATGCAGTCTATGTGGTGCACTTTGTGTACTACAACATGTACAATACGTGTGCGTATACGTACAATGTAATATAGGTTGTGCAATATATGCGAAATAATGTATGTGATGCAACCTCTGTGGTGCAACCCTCGTGATGCAACATCTGTTGTGCAACCTATGTGGTGCAACTAATTTCTGTTCGCAGTGAGTTCTCCACCCCACTACTCGCACAAACATCCAACCCACCCACCCGCAACTTTGTTTGCAAACCTCCTGCGGCGGTGATTGCGATGAGTGCTTGGCGCTGGCTGGTGCATCCCTGCGGCCGCGACAGCCCGCGCATGTGCGCGCGCGCAGTGGCCAGGTAGTTTAGCGCGACCGACGAGGCCGCGGTGGTGCTGACCGCTCGGCACGTCCCAGCGGTCACTTGAATGCGAGTCGGCGGCTTGGGCGGGTGCGGTATCATGGTAACGTCGACGCTTGTAGACACGATGGCGATAATGGTGGCGATGTTGGTGACGACAAGTGTAGACACGATGATGATGATAGTGGCGATGACAGCGCCGATGCCGATCACGCCGACGACGATGACGGCGTCTTCGCGTCGGTGATGAAGGTTTTCGAAGGAATTCGAAATGCGCGCGAAGCAGATGTGCGAGTGGCTCGCGTGGTATTATTTGACACGGATCGTGCCACCCCAGAACGCGCGCAAGGGCGTTCGAACGATTTCGACATGCGCTCGCGCGAAGCCCGTTTGGTAACATTTTATGATAATTTTGCCATTTTTTCAATATATATATATATAAACACCAAAACTTATTTATAAATAAAAAAACACTTAGCAAGAACGCGCGCGCACGCTTGTGTTGAACATCCGTCTTGCGAAACCCTTTGTTTTTGTATATTTTGTGGGCACTCGATTTTGAAATCCTTCCGAAACCGAAAGTTTTTGAAGGATTCCGGCATGCGCGCGCGACCACGCGCGCATGTGCACTTCGTCCTGTTTTTTGCAAGGCATTTTTTGAGAACTTATGATTTTGAATAAACGAGTGTGCAGGCATAGTATTTTTTGCAAGGGAACCGAGGGGGTGTCGATACCGGCCTGGCTGGGGTATGAATTCGCAGGTAGGATGGACATTGGGTCAGAATCCCATGTGTTTTACATCGGTCCCCGGTGAGTGGATATTTTTCATTTATGTGTATATATTTATATGTATATATATAGTTTGTATTCTAAACAAAACAATCAAAACATATAATCTATGTGGTGCAACCCGTGTGGTGCAATTCATGTTGTGCACTCCATGTGGTGCACTTTCTGTGGTGCAATTTGCAATATGTGTTGTGCAACCCTTACGGTAAAGCATACGTGAGACAATCTCTGTCGTCAAATCTATGTGGTGCAATGAATTTCTGCTCGCAGTGAATTGTCCACTCCACTACTCGCGCAAACATCCCACTCACCCACCCGCAACTTGGTTTGCAAAATCTCTTAAGACCGTGACGGTGGGTACCAAATGGCACTTGGCAACGACAGCGACGCCGACGACGACAGCAACAACGACGACGACGATGCCGCCGACAACGACTACGACGACACCGACGACGTCTCCAACGACTTCGACGACGCCGACAACGACGACGACGACACCGACGACGACGCCGACGCCGATGACGACGACGACGACGATGACGCCGACGACGACGACGACGCCGACGACGACGACGACAACGACGACACCGACGACGACGACGACGTCAACGACGCCGACGACGACGACGACGGCGGCGACGACGACGACGCCGACGTCGACGACGACGAAGACGACGACGCCGACGCCGACGACGACGACGAAGACGACGACGACGTCGCCAACGAAGACGACGACGAGGGAGGAGGGAGGACGACGACGGCGACGTCGACGACAACGACGACAACGACGAGGGAGGAGGGATGACGGCGACGACGCGAAAGACGAAGAAGGAGGAAAGACGGCGACACCGACGACGACAACAAGACGCCGACGACGGACGACAACGACGACGAGGGAGGAGGAGGAAAGACAACC